ATATATATATGCAATGGAGTTGCAGGCTTTGAGTTTCCACGCTCTCTTCCTCCTCTCTCTCTCTATCTATGTAGGGCAGCCCGTGGATCAGCTGACATCCCCATCCTCCCACTTGCCCACACAATCTTGTTAAAGCATGCAGTTAATCTGAAGAGGAAAATGACTCTCTTCACAAGCAAGGGACTCTTTCATCACCCTTTTGTATTGCCCACATCACGTTGTCAAGCGAATATCAGATTCTCCCAAACCTCAGGTGCTTAGGAGAAGCGGCGCCCTCATCTTGGCTCTGCCTGATGTCATTTGCCTGGGAGTGACTTTGTGAATTGGGCATTAAACCGCACTCTAGGAGCCCAGATAGCATTATGTCGCGGGAAGAATCAACATCTCAATGGGGGACTCTCCATTAATTTTTCTCTTCTCTCTTTCAGAAGTTGGCTCCACCATCAATAATTTAGACCAAAGTGCTGCCACAAAGATGAAACAGAGGAAATAAAGTAGTGCTCTCTGGAAAGTCTTCTGGAAGAAGCCTACAGTCGTCGATTTAGAAAATCTTGATCATATCATATGTATTTTCATAATCAAGCACAAACAGAAGGGAGGAGACACACAGAAATACTCTTTTGCTCCTCTATTTCTCTTTATGCTTCTGCCTTTTTTTTCATTGAGAGCCGAGTGAAAACAAAGAGCCTCGGCTGCTGCCTGGCAGGCCAGTTGAAGTGCAGCAATTTGATGGACACAGATACAGGGCAGCGCGGGAAAGGCCTCTGTTTCAATTGCCACTCGCTGCCCGCTGCTTGTCCCCACTCTGAAGTAGCTGGAAACCTCAAGACCCTGAGCTTCAGGGCTTAAACATTTCTCGGCCCTTGTGGGCTCTCAAAAGAGCCACTCGCTTCTATGGGCTGTGGAGGTACATCTCGAAAGCACCTTTCATCCTCTCGGAAGAGAGAAAGTGAGAGCAAATCATGTTAAACTCGAACAACTCCCACATAATCACGAGTGTGCTTTTTCAGACACAATAAAAATGTACCGAGCTCTCAAACAGGGCTGATTGTGCTCAAGAGGAAAATGAACCTTGGAAAAATGAAGCAAACCTCTTCACTCTCCTCCTACTTGTTATGCTGTTTGAGGTGTGTCTAGATTGTCTTCAACTGACTATTCATTACACAGCCACAGTCGGAAGCTGACTAAATCTTTTAAATGAATTTATCAAATGGCTTACTTCCTCATTGAATCAGAGGAGACATATAGAGAGGATTTCCATCCCTGAAACCAACAAATGAGAAAGTTCAATACTGCAACTGTGTTGCCGTCTCACAGGTTTTTTTTCTTCTTCTTCTATGTACCAGGCATGCATGTTCCAGTCAAGTAAACACTGTACATGTGTGTGGTGCTATGGTTGACTTGACAACACTGCCATCTCATGGTGATCAGAGTAAAAAAAGAACATATTGCTTTTTCTGAAACATCTTTATTAGAAAAGGTGTATTAATTAAGCAAGGCATGTTATCATCATCTTCCTCTGCCATATTTACACAATCCATATGCTATCTCCCGTCAAAGCCTTCATTATTACAATAATTGTATTAAAAATGCACTACGTAATGAGATCAACACAAGCTATTAATGTTGTTAAAAAACATCGAGCATGAAGCAACATGATTTGGTTCCAGCTCTCTTGTTAATGCTCTCGTATATCAAAGAGATTGATAGTTTGTGTTGAACTTGTGGAACTATAGTTTTCTTCAGCGTAGAAAACTCCTCTGACTGAAACACCACTTCTTGGAGAGGTTTTTATCAAAGGGGGTTGCATAAATTCCTCTCTGATCTTTTCAGTGGGGACCTCTTCTCTTCTGGTCTATTTCTAGTCACTGAACCTCCAGAGAGCCGAGACTGTCTCCGAGCGAGGCTGAGATGCAGAAGAGATGGCAGATGGGTTCGACTTTTCTCTTGGTGTGTGAAAGGCATCCTCGCTCCCCCCAAGGGCGAAAGTCGTGCCTCACGGCATTTTGAGCCTTTCTATACCTGGGCACCTTTCTGATCTTCCTCCCTCTCAGTGCTCCGTCTCTGTGTCTGTATGACAGCTCGGCTCCTCTCCACCTGCTTCCTCCTCCTCCTCCTCCTCCTCCTCCCCACCCCACTGGGTTTGACACCGGAGCACCAGAGCGGAACACCTCCCCAACCCCGATTCCCCAAACCGCTGCTGGCACTGCACCACAAAGATCCTGTAAAGCTCCAAGAGGACGACAAGGATGTTCTTGCAGGTGAAGAAGATCATGAGCTGGTTGAGCACCCGCTCTTGGACCATGAGGTAGAGCCGGTAGAGCAGAAACGGGCCATCTTGGACTCCCACTGTGAGCAGCAAGCTCCACACTTCACTAGAGCAGCAGGAGGCAGACGACGAGGGAGCAGCAGGGCGGCGGGCGAGACCACCCGCACTCTTCTGCGGAGGCTCACCCTCTGGGAGTTGCGTCTGGGTCAGCACCAGAGTGAACTGCATGAGCGCCCAAGAGAAGAGGCCCAGGCCCATGTAGACAACCGTTTGGTTGGTTTTAACCTCGGGCTCCTTGAAGGTGTCCAAGATGTCCAGGATGTCGGCGCCCAGTCCCACATAGACCATGAGGAGCTGGGAGAGCTGGTCGCGGGACATGTCCCCCTTGGGCATCAGCCAGCGACCCAGAACCAACACTATGAGCATGGTCTGCTCCAGGCCAACGACCCAGTTCTTCGGGTCCAGCTCCACGATGGCCTGGGTGAAGGAAACAGCAATGTCTGGTTACGACAGAGGCGTTCGACAATTAATTTTTCACAGTTTGTGTTACAGAGCAGGGACATTTCCTTTGGATTCTCATTGGCTTTCCCTGATATCGCAATTACTTTTTGATCAATGATCCATAGAGATATAATTATTTTAAATCTTGGTATGTGGTATTGTCAATCATCCATTCAACAAGACCTCTCCTCTCTATTCTTGCTGTAACTTGTGAGTCAGCTCCTCGTTGTGGCAGGGATCATTGAGTTTATCCCGATAGCACCCCTTGACATTTCACAACGTTACCGAAACACTACGTCTTCCACTTTCAAAAGCTGCCACCCAGCCTCGAGCACAGCCAAGGGGCAAAAAAGTTCCCAAATCCTACATGAAAGAGACTGCACTAAAATCATCCCAGAAGGGGAGAGATCTGAGAGTTTTTCCGAGCAGGAGCCTATCTGGACCTCATCTCACTGTGTCAATTACACATTTCCTGGAACTAATAGTTTATCCACCCCCTTGATAGATTTAAATCTTATCTGATATCAGGTGTTGCTTTAATGTGGCTGCGTGGAGGGTGAGGCGGGGAGGGCAGTTTTGTGGTGGGGCGCCTACCGCTGTGATCGGGATGCGAGCCAGCAAATGAAGCTCCAGGCCCGAGGAATTGTTGACAGGTAGCTTGGACTGCAGCAGGCTCAGCTCCAGGAACCAAATGGATGGGATGACAGTACTGAGGTAAAGGAAAACCATGGGGGAGAACCTAAAAGAGGGCCACCAAAGGAGAGGGAGAGTGGTCGGGGAGGAAAGGTGGGGGTAGGTTATTTTTAGGGACATCCTTTTTTATTTATTTGCCACTCACTTAAGAAGAAAGAGTCCCTTTTTTTTCCTCCAAAAGAAGCATCAAATTTCAGACAGGCAATTATTCTCATCATATATGCAAATCCCTCTTGACAGTGCAAAGCCTTCTCCACGAGGAGAGAACTTCAAAGTAAGACTCAGTGAGAAAGAGAGAGGCCTGAAGAAAGCTTGTGTCTGTGGATGTTCACTGTATGTGTCAGAGCTACAGCTTTTGAATGAGACGCAGCTTGATGTTGAATGAGGTGTGACACTAAATGCTCATATCCTTTGGAGACTCGCGTAATAGAGGTTGGTGTCAGTTTATGTTTACTCAAGCCAAATATATATTTTTTCAATCCAGCTGGACAGAAACTGCTTGAGCCGGCAGCAGCAGCAGACATTTTCTCCGCCACTGGAAAGGAGAGCAGTGTGACAGAGACGTGATGGCAGGCTCAGAACATAAGCTCAGAGGAAGACAGAGCAATAGCACCGCGGAGGAATAGATTTGTTTTTGATAGACAGTGAAAGAGAGAACGAGCTGCAGAGGATAACAGAGAATTTAGTGGCAGAGAATATTTTCGGCCGTACACAAGCTGCCTCTCACCCTCCTGAGTAGATGGGTTGTAAAGTGTTAAGAAGTTATTTACTCTCCCTCACAAAACAGGTTTACAAAGTCCTGCTCACAGCACCTCAATCCTCATGTCACCACTTTAGAAATAGAAAAAAAAGATGGTTTGTACATGCTTATTTAGCCTAAAAACACATTTTTGTTTATTATAGCTGAAGCAGATCCAGGATCCTTTTTAGAGATATCAAATTAAACTACTGAGCCTCTAAAAACGGTTGTATAATGTCTTCTGTGTTTATTTGTCTCTTGTGAGTCTGTGATGGATGATTTCTATGTTAATCGGGAGAAGAGAGAGTTGTTCACAAATCAATAACAAAGTCTTCAAAAGATTAAAAGTTGTCTTTGTCCATTTATTTGCTTGCAAGGGAAGAGTGCACCACAGATACTCATTCAGCAGTCTGTGGTGTGAGCTTCAACGAGATTCAACATCCTTTTATACCTACAGAGGCCTCCTTCCCACATGACTCCCATGCAGGAAGTGTCTAGTCTGGTCTTATCTGGTTCATGCAGGTAGCTCAACTGTGAGTCGGTTGTGGTTTCTATGTTCCTGTTTTAAACTACCCTTCCGTGAAGCTGTTTCCTGTTTCAAATGACCCTTCCAAGAAACAGAGTATGTGAACATGTCTTCAGTTAAGAAACCGGGTCTTTAGGTGCATCTGTGTCTTGCAGGGCCTGTTTTACTTCTCCATTATACCAAGATGTCACACTATGTTCTTTAAAAACGTTCCATGATGCTAATACATATTTTACCATTACAATACTAAACTGCTGAAGTACGCCTCCATTGAAATTGCTCTGCAGGTTGGTTAGGTAGAATGGATCAGAGTATTATGCTGTTAACGTTGTGGTTTCAAGGTCTGCAATCGATGCAAGCAGATTTTTAGCCACTCTAGCAGCGTGGCTCTAGGGACGATAATGGTTTGTTGGTCCCAACCGATATTTCAACAAAAAGTCAATGGATTGCTGTGAAATTTTGAAGAGGCATTTATAGGCATTTAATAAACCTAATGACTTTGGTGATCCTCAGTTTTTTTCCTTTAGCAGGTACATTTTATAATTCGTCCAATACCGTCAAAACTATCGTCATCTCGTCAGCCCAAGCTGTACTTTGTGTTTATTGCCAAAAAGCAAATTGTAACATCCTAACAATCAGAATGATGGTTGAATGGACCTGCTAAATTGGCATCGTAAGACTGTTAGCATTTAGCTCAAAGCACCTCTGTGCCATAATACAGCCTCGGAGATTCGTTAGCATTGGCTGCAGACGATGCAATATTAGCCCAAAATGTCAGCCTAATCCTGATATTAACACTTTTGTGAGCTAAATGTTACCATTTCCACTCTGCGTTTTGGGTGCACTTCAGAGTGACGACCATTTCCAAGCCCAGCAGAGCTACGCCCATCAGCAGCAGCCAATAGAGTGGCTCCTCTTTGACGGCCACCACACGCCATACCGTCACCACCCCGTGGACCACAAACAGGAAGCGACTCAGCAAAGCCAGCAGGATGTTCAGGAGACGACACATCATGCACCACAGAAAACCTGTAGAGAAGATAGTTTTATCGTGTCACTTACTTTAAATCAGTGGTTCTCAAACTGTGGGGCGCGCCCCTCTAGTGGGGCGCGGCGGTATTGCAGGTGGGGCGCAGGGGGAAATGCAAAAATTTTTTATTTCAAGAACTTTATTCATACCTGCAAACTTTTCGGCGAAATTCGCCGTTTTGAATCAAAATATATCATCCACGTGAATCGTGTAGATCCGTAGAGGTTTTTTTTTTGGGGGGGTCAACTGGCCAGCCAGCGTTTCTCAGATTGGAGTGTGACGAGGAGAAAAGGTGATATCGTGATCTTCACAATAAAACATATTTGATGTGACGTGTCGAGTCTTGGCCAATCAGCGTTAAGATGTCTACAGCGTCTTTCCCTCCGTTAAAGTTTGAGTTACGTTATGTTCCGTTACCGTTCAGACTTGCTGGGTTAAGTTAACGTCCACTGCATGCGGAACATTGTCGACTGTTAACGTTCGTCATTATCACGATTTAGGAGGAAAAAACGTAACGTGATGAAACATGCAGCCCCCCCGTGTTCCGGTTCAGTTCACGCGGTCACTCGTTAATGTTAAACCAGAACACCGGCGCATCTGGTTGCAGGTTGTTTTTTTTAACTCAAAGTAGAATGAGGATGATACTGATGAGATGATGAAGTCAAAGAGCTTTAGGGAGAGGAGGCTGTCTGTAGCGCAGCTTGACGCAGAGCTGAGATGTGAGTGGAGCTGGGCCTGGATAAAGGTGGAGGTCTAAACAGACGTGAGTACAGCTTCCTGCTGTCACAGTATTTTAAATACATTGATAAGGCAGGGTATGCTGAGTGCAGCCTCTGCTCCAAGGATATAAAGTACAGCAACAAGGGCTCACGTGCCCTCTCATCACACCACTGGCGGCCATGCATTTTATACCTAGGCCTTCACTGCTGTCCTGCAGCTGAAATACCACCTTATAACCACATTATGGCACCACAGCTATTATTCATTTTTAAGGCTGTAACTATGTACATCTTCGTATTAAACCGTTCGGTACAAGTCGTTTGAATAATGCTAGCACATTTAGAAAATGCAAAAGCCCAAACTCAGGAAAATATAATGTTTTCAGCTGGTCTGGCTATGGGATCCGCCATCATTCCTTAATGACAAGCCACAACCCAAAGAGATTATCATAGGATTTTACTTTCACAACTCCAATGTTGAACGTACTGCTCTGCAATGTCTTTCCTCGGCTCAGCCCCCTGTGTCATGGTGTGTGGTACATCTTACTCGGGTCAGAATGCCCATATTTGATTGGCTGAGCTGCATCACGTGATGTGATTCACTACCCACTAAGCCTCTGCTGTTAAGTTTCATTTCACGATAGTCACGTGCTCGCCCACTGACCAATCACAGCACACTCTGCACCTCGCGGCAGAGCTGCATGGACACTGATCGGCATGTAATGCTGACGTCATTATAGGCCGGCTAGCAGGTGCTGACACGTCAAAGAATACGCCCAACATGTCAAACTAAAGATCTGATTGGTTGAACACTATGACAATCAACAATATCGTCCCCATTTACTTTAATCTGCACTGGCTGCAGGTGAGACTCTGCAGGCCTCTGCCTCTGTTCTTACCTAGAGACACAGAGGTGAGATCTGATTGGATAAAAGCTCTACTTTAAACAAGCTGCACTGGAAGCAGAGCAACTGAGGAACACAGTAGCTGTGCAATGAGAAAATGAGATAATGGAAAAATATTTTTATAAATTATAATACATGTAGTGTATTTAAGAAAAAATATTAAATTATAAAATAGATATAACTTTGTGATTCTGTTTAGGCCAGCGGAGAAGGCCTTGCAGGCCCTGACGGCCCGCCACTGCATCACACTGTATACACTGTTCACTGTAATGACCACAACCAGTGTACTAACAGTCCCAACAGTCCCACGTGCAGCTATTATTATTATCACAGCTATTATCACAGCTATTATTTTACTTTTAGAATGCTACATTTTAAAGCTCATATTTAAAATAAAATGCTCCAGATATTTTATCTCAATAAAAGTTCAACATGGACCATTTTGTTACAATTTTGTTGGGGTGGTGGGGCATGAACATTTTCCTTCCTCCAAAGTGGGGCGTGACAGAAAAAGTTTGAGAACCACTGCTTTAAATGATGGATAGATGCTTTTTAAATCAAAATGTGTTGTAAAGTTGCATTTTCCTCTTCCCTTAATTTACTGTATAAAAGCCATTACTAGATTGTTTGGTGTAGTTTGTTTGATACTGGCTGAACCACTGACGTCCATTAACTTACAGTATTTCAGATACAAGGACATATTAAATCTATTGAATGACTAAGGGAAAATCCTATTTATATGCCACATTTGCTTTGCAACAGATCATTCTTGCAAGATTAATGAAAGCTGAAGCTTTTCCAGTATTTTTGCACAATTTCAACAAAACTTTTGTTTACAAGGTCTCAAAAGGTCTTTATGTTCTTTTGAATCTCATATAGTTTAACTGCAACACACTTAATGTCCAACAGTAAAGGCTTTTGCAGAGTATAGAATTGCCAATTGCCAAAGGCCACCTCAATTTGATTGCATTTTTTGCAATAAATTCAAGCAATAAACTCACACAGAATTGCCAGTGTCAGGCAGCTAAAAGCCAAACCAACCGCGAACAATTTGTAAACAGTTATGTAACCGCCTCCATCATTACACGTTATACGCCCCAATTGAGCTTTAATTATCAATAACCACTGCATAATATGTGTGGGCAAACAGTCCTCGCTGTCAATTAGTCAGTTTAGGATAAAAGCTTCTGATCTTTGTGGGAATCCAAAGCAAGCAGTGATTAGTATGCAAGTGAGAGAAACTGATCTGGAGTCAAAATTAAATAAGTCCAGGAGGCTTTGCATGGGTTTTCTTAGATCTGATCTCTGGATCTCTGGATTATTGTGATGATTTAAGGACTTGAAAGCGGTTGAAATGCATATTTAATCCAGCTCAATTCCAGCCAGGGACTTTAGTTGCAAATCATATCCTTCTCTTGCTCCCTATGTGTCCTGTTTGTTTCTGAACTGTCACCATGTAATTCATACGAAATGCTAAAAAAATAAATAAAAAAAAGGTTTGTAATGCCACTTTCTAATAAAGCACCTTTTGTAACAGGATTTATGTTTGGAGACTTTTTTAGTGGTTAAAAAATGTTTTTTCTAACACTGTACAGATGACGTACAGACCATTAATAATGGCTTTTGTGTTGCCTCTCTGTCTGCCATTACAAACTTGTTTCTGTTACTGTATACAAACGTAGTTTTTAAAGGACAGGGTTGCCACCCACATTAGAGCATATGGAGCCATACATGTTTTTTAGCATGAATGAAGCAATGAAACGTTAGTAAGTCCTTCATAAAGGGTCACAGCTTTCTCACTTTCTAACAAGCCAAAAGCAAAGGTTAGTGAAAAGAAATGCATGTGGCTGGTGTCAGTACTTACTATATTAAATAAATAAATAAATAAAATAGGTACATATTATATATTTAGTTTGTCTTCATTTATAAAGACTTGTCTTTATGTTGGAATAACAAATAATTTTTTTATGACGTCTGTTTTGACAGGTATAGTATATGTCTTGAAGAGAATTCATGCTATGTGTATGGTGCAGTTGCATGCAGTACAGACCTACAGTATACGCTGGACTCCTCGCGGAAATTGTTTGAGATCAGTTTCTTCGGTGTATTTCCCAAAAGTTCTCGGATGCTGCAGCAGTAGAAAATCTCAATACCAGAACAGTCACACACTCTGACTCGGTCTGTGTCTGTCCTGTTTTGACTTTTAAATGACACCTCCAAGACCCACTGGATGTGTAGACATTTGTATTTGTGTGTGTGTGTGTGTGTGTGTGTGTGCGCGCGCGTGCGTGTTCCTATGCGTGACTGCTGTTCAAGTCCACTTGAGCAGAGTATCAGTGAGCAGTAGTTGTGTCCCACCAGTGCATGTGTGTGTCTCCGTCCCCCTCGGTGCCATTGTAGGAGATAGCGTTTCCTGCCCCCTGCGCCCACATCTTTATCGCAATCCGTCATGATGTCATCTCTCCTGGCCCAGAACAAAGTTATCTCCCTGGGAGAAGCCGGCCTGTCGCGCTCCCTGTTCAGAGAGCACCCAGCCCTGCCCAGATCCCACCCATGCCTGCACTGCCTCTGCGCTGTTTGCCCTGATAACAGCCTCGCTCCCTGGCCACTGCACACATGTGGCACAAAAACATGGAGCAACAAGAGGTATTGGAGATGCCGATGCCCCCCTGAGCAGTCACTATAGGAGTTTGTTGTTATGGCTACTGCGTCAGAATGAGGACGCTGCATGGGCCGATGCTGTCCAGGAGCTTCAATCCACTAAACTCCTAAAGTGGAACAATAAATATGTTTACAGGCTCCAGTGTCCAAACATACGGAGACGAGAAAAAAGGGGGAGGTGTGGAGAGAGAAAAAATTACAGAGAGAAGTTTTAAGATCAGTCAGGGTCTGACTCTGAGCTGTCCCATCATCACAACACACTCCACACACATTTGTTATGTACAGCTCCAGCTAACACCTCTATACGTTTAGTACATTGGCTGCAAATAGACATAGACCACTAAAATACTGTCAAATTTGGTGCAGTCTGAACCCATTTTAAGAGCATTGTCGGTGAATGAGACATACTGGCCAGGTTTCTATTAATTTATTTGCAGTGGCAGAAAATAAGGGGGTGCATATTTGGGTGGTAGATGTAGGCTGCATGTAGCACGTTCAAGGCATACTGGAGTTCATGCCTCATCAACTTGTTATGTTATCAATCATATGCCCAAAACCGTAACCTTACCATATTGCAATGCACAGATATTGGAGAGTTAAATTATTTAAAAACATTTTAAGAAAGGTGGGTATTAACGAGTTGTGACCAAAATAGGAGCGGTACATTTTACAGTTGAAAAACAAAACAATTGAACACACTGTGTAATGTGTTTCTAAATGTCCCCAGACACATCTTTGTATTTCTGTATTGCAGTTTCTTGTTTTTCAGCCATCAGACTCTTGTTGGGATATTTTTGTGTGGAGCCCCTGACCTTTTCTACAGTCCCATTGTTAGGTCAGGATTTTCCTTTGTCGATGTCCAAGAAAAACTATAGTGAGAACTAACCATGACATTTATGGTGAATATGAATGGTCCCCAAGTGAATGAATCCTATAATGATTTAGGTGACCCTGAGACCTTTCCTCTAGAGACACCATCAGGTAAATAAAATGTTCCCTTGTAGACAGGAAATAACACAATCTAACGGTCGGTTTGCTATGACATTTATCTTCATGGCTGTCAGAGAAACTCTACATGTTGGCTGCTTTATGGTTCCTCCTCATACTAAACTTTAGCTCTATAATAGGTAAGCTTCTTAAAATAGCATAACACCCACATATTTGGTTGATGTAGCGTTAGACTTTCAAACTTTTTTTAAGATGTATTATACAATATCTTCTAATTGGATCAAAATTTGAATGCGGTAAGACAAGACACCTGAGAGCGCAGCGATTATCATAAAGGCAATACTGTGATGTTGAATGTAATAGGAAAACTAGGTCATTCTTTGACTGTGAAGCTGCAGTGCTTTCTCATCCATAACTTTCCCCAAATCAATTTCCAAGTTCATACAAAGGACAGACAAGAGTCTAAAATTACTCATAAGAGCACAAATCTTGACCTCTCTCAAGATTTGACATACTTACAGTCATTTATTCATTATCCCTCAAATTAGAGCCTTCTTGTTGGCGGCAACTTTTTTTGCATTGACAAATTTTTCATCTCCCACAAGGGATTTCAGCATTTCTTTTCTTTTAATCACACCCAACAACCGTTTTGGATTTTAGATTCAAGTGACCATTTGAAGCAGGACAAAGAGAGAGAGAGACACACACACAGGTACTGTCATGGAGGAAGTCCTTTAATGGTGAGGAAAAAGGCAGAACTGGCAGAAGGAGATAAGACACCCCAGACGGTGTCCTGAACGAAAAATGAATTGAAAAGAAAATGGGTGGAGGACCAAAGGCGGGAGAGGAAGAGAGGGAGGGTGGCGATGGTGCGGGAGGAGGGTGAGTGAGTTATCAGCCATGCAGAATAGTAGGACACCTCATCTTGTTATCCTTCTGGTTTGGGCGGCGCTTTTTGCTTTTCGAGATAACAGGCGGTTCGCTCCAGATTGTTGCTTTTGAGTTAGTTAAGCCGACTATGCTTATTTGTGTTCGCAAGAAGTGCGCTTGTGGTCAGTGCTGCAGGCGTTCGAGCACAATATGTGGTTTTGGTGTCCAGTGTTGAGTTCGTTTAACAGCATGACATGTGGAGATCTGGTGGATTGTTGGCTAAACTGTGCTCACTGTTTGTGATCCTCCTCAACAGGCAACACAGTCCTTTGCGTTTATACAGCACTTTTCTGTATTTTTATTTAAATATATGAAGTCCTGTTAACACTTTTTAAACTCATAACCACCTCCGTTACTACCATATTTCCATATTCACAGGCCATAGCACTTCCTTTCGTCTGAAGTATTCATTTACTTATTTATTTATTTTTAACTGAGTCCTGCAGTATATTTCCACTGCACCAGTCTGCCAGCATCGAAGTGGCACAACTCCAGCAGTTTCTTATATGCAGCCCTGGCTGGCAGCTATTCGCACAGACCTGCTGCCTCCTCTTCACATGGTGTACGCCACCCAGTAGATCACGTTCACCACGGCGAAAGTGAAAGGGAACACGGCCCTAGCGTAGATGTCGATGGTGTCGGCATCAATGGGCTTACACACGCACTTGGAACAGCAGTTCTTCTCCTCCGTGCACTCCTCCGGCTGCCTGGACCTTCTCCTCCTCGGCTCGGCCTCCTCGCTGCCGCCCTCCCCGGGGATTTCGCTGCTGGAGCGCTGGGGCTGCCCGTGGCGGTTGGAAATCATCACGCCCTGGTTCATGCCGGTGACCGACAGGGAAAACAGAACCATGGCCTGTTTGCCGTTCTTTACAATGGACTGTGGGGGGACAGAGAGAGAGAGGCGTGTAAGCACTTTACATGCTAATGTTCAGTTTTGAGCCGCTCAGCATCAAATATCTGAAGAATCAGGCAAAAGTGTTCGTTAGCCAATCTGCCTCCTGATGGACTGGACAAATTAGTAAACCCTGCTAAATACCAAAAGAAAATTTTCTTTTACAATTTCAGAATTACATCATGCACCTTTTGTTAAATCACATCTGACATTTTTTTGCACTGTGCTGGATCACATCAAAGCACTTCACACTCATTTTACTTGATCATAGTAGTACTTGGTTTTTTTTTATTGGTGAATTTCTTAAATCTAAAGAAATGTAATTTGTAACTTTCTGCATTTTTTGCAATGAAAACATTGACTCAGATCTTGTTCAAATAAGTTGACCTTAATTTATATTTTCTGTGCAAACATATTTTAACTAACTAGTCATTAAAGCTCACAAATAAATGTAGTGGAGTGAAAAATACAATATTTCCCTCTGAAAGGTAGTGGAGTAGAAGCAGGAATTGGTGTGAAAAGAAAGGACTCAAGTAAAGTAAGTACCTAAAAATTGTACTTAAGTTCCACCTCTGTTGTTTTTATATCATTGGTAGGTTTCTATAGTCTCTGTAATTTTACCCTCATCAACAATGCATGCTGGGTCTCCACACATTTTCAATCACCCCACTGTACGTTTCAATGTCACTCGCTTCAATCATCTTGTCATGTCTTTGTCCTCGTTTTTCTTGTGTTCAGAATATAAGCAGATTTTGCTTACGCTTTCTGTTATTTCATTTGATTTGATCCATGTCCTATTCTCAAGGTGTACCTCAGTAAGATGTATACCAACAGCAAAGGAAACGGGCAGTATGATGAGAGTCACTATTACTCCCTGAAGGGAGATTTCCCCATTATGCTCTATAGAGATGCATTGTCTTGCAGAAGGTCAGTGGGATGGCTGCTTGTCAGCAGCGGAGTTTGAAGCGCCAGCACAGGTCTATGTTTGAAAGGCGTGCTCATTACTCACAACACTCCCCCTCCCTGGAGTTCCACATTGTGATCTGCTGATGGGAGTACATGACAGGAGTGATTTCCTCACCTCAGAGCTGAGCTTGTTGGCCTTCACCTTGGCCTTCTCTTTGAGCCTGTAGTCAGCGTTGTAGTGAGCGAAGGCGTACTCGATGAGTGCCGCGAACACAAACACGTAGCAGATCCAGAAGTAAACGTCTAACGCCTTGATGGCTGACGCCCGAGGCAGGGAGGAGCGGGCGCTTACCATCAGCGTGGTCATGGTGAGCACGGTTGTGATCCCTGCGGAAACAACGCGGGCGCAACGTGTCAGATTATGGTTATTATTATATTACTGTGCCTAAGTACAGCTGCACAGAGCCGTTAGCATGGCCTCTTTTTGTTGCTATCAGCCTTAGTGAGACCCCATCAAACCGTTACCGACCTAAGGATACACGAGCAGGGACTGCTGTTTGGCTGATCCAGAAGGACACCCAGGACATGGCGACCAGTAAAATGGAAGGCATGTATGACTGGATGATGTAGACGCCTCGATTACGTCTCAGCTCGAAGCGGAGGCTGAGCCTCGGAAATCGTCCCGCTGGGAAGCAGAAAACAGACACTGTGTTTAATTGCTTCTCTGTGTTTAGGAAATTAACACAATGTTTAGTTGCTTTACTGTTATTACAGAATGGCTCACTTGTGCCCCTGGTGGCAAAGCTCCTAGATGCCTGACATAAAAGAAGTGCTACATACATTTTCCCAGCAGCAATTCCTATCATCTCTTAAACCTCCCGCCTGGCTCAGCAGCAAGCCTGATTTGATTCATTCCTTCTGTGCATAGAATATGACCAGAGAAGTGATTCAAGTTAAAATAGAAATCTTGCTTCAAAAGAATCTGAGTCTTCCAACGCAAGAGGCAAGCCCAATTGAAAACCCAAAATAGTATAATGCATAAAACACTCGCTCAAATGCGAGGGGCTATCAGACTGACTCCACTGACAACAAGAAAAAACAAAGGAAAGCAAGATGGATGCTCACCAGATTTGAAGTTCATCATCTCAGTGACAAAGCGATAGTCTGTGATGGTGAACTGGGAGAGCTCCAGTTTGTCCAGGCCGTGGATGTGTTTCTGACTCTCTGACCAGTGGTACACAATGTCCTCTGAGGAGTAGCCATCTAGAAAGAGAAAATATTATCAGTCCAACCTACAATGTTGCAGTAATGTGAGGGTAGAAGTAGTTACGGATAAAGATTATAACCAGGCGGCAACCTCTGGGTATAAACAGTGAAGCCAATGCGGACGTGCCTTAAACTTGCATTCTTTCCAATGACTAGCAAGGAGCGACTCCTCTGGTTGCAAAAATAATTCAGATTGTATAGCAGTCTATGAGAAAATGGCCCTACTTCTCACTTGATTTTTTACCTCAGTGAACATTGTAAACATGAGTTTATGGTCTCAATAGTTAGTTTATAATAATAATAATTAGTTTCAAGTCTTCAACAATAGTATGATGTTCATTTAGTAAATTATGTTCCCATTGGTAGTTTAATGGACAAAATAGCAGGGTATGCTTTAGGGCGTGTCTACCTGGTGATTGATATCTACAGCAGCGTTGTCCTGTCTGGGAGGTGTCCGTGTTTTTGTCTTACAACTTTAACCCTTTCACAGTGTTTTTTTTAGTTCATGAAAATGTATTGTAGCCATGTTGGTCCCCTTAAAAGTGTCTTATTCGGCATTCGTTTCTACTTAGCTCCACTATCTCGTGTCACTTCTGGTTCCAAAAAACAAGATGGCCACGACCAAAAAAACAAGATGGCGATGGCCAAAAAAAACAAGGTTTCAAAACGGCAGTCCACAAACCAATGGGTAATGTCATGGTGACCACATCCTCTTCCGATATACAGTCTTGAGTTTTGTCATTGTAACCTTTCCTTGGTGTCCCTTTACATTGGCATGAAGGTAGAAACAAAGAATTGTGACTTACAGCTCTCCAGGTCCAGCATACACTCCTGTTCATCCATGGGATACTTGGTCAGGTCCATATCACACGCCACCGTTGACGTGATTCTAGGAACAAAGCACCCCAGTTAATCATGACTCAATGTACATCGTCTGTTGTTTCTTAGCAACTCAACTGGCGAACATCTTCTATGAAAATATGGTTCACATCTTTCCACAGTCTACAACATTTTCCATTATCTGAGAGCTGTGATGAAAATGAGCTCAATACGTTATAGCAATAATAACAATTTTAAGATAAGACCCAAAAACCTTTGACCCAATTAATATTTATTTTTTTTAAACTTCGGGGGAAACAAAATGATTCTGTAAACACAACACTGGCATATGTCATAAACAGTGGTGTATAAAGTACTCAAAAGCCATACTTGAGTAAAAGTAAAGATACCTTACTGGAAAACTACTCCAGTAAAAGTAAAAAGTCACCTATTAGAATACTACTTGAGTAAAAGTCTTAAAGTGTCTGATATTTATTGTACTTAAGTATCAAAAGTAATTTTCTGATATTAAAGTACAAGTAAATGCTGTTAATAAAAAAGCAAAGGGTCAGAATTTTGAGAATTATTAAGTTTATTCTTTTAAGTGCTGTGGCACCAGGACCAAGGACATGGAGCTGTGTTAATAATTGTGTTGGCTGTGATCCATCCAGGAGCAACAATGTTCAACATAATATATTGTACATAAGTATACTTTTGCATCTACTATGAACTTATCATCATAATTCTCCGAAAAGCAATATGACCCTATGAAGGAGTTGTAACAGTGCGTTTATAAGTATGCCCATTCCGACTAGAGGATGTAGAGGGCAAATGCATAATGTTGTGTTCAGCAAAAAATATCCACTTGATGCATCAGGTCAGTGTTGTGAGAAAGGACGCCTGCCTTGTAAACTCCTATGGGCCTGATCTGAACACAACAGGCAAAGGTTTTGCTCAAGCTGAATCTGCAATTGGGCGACTGCTACCATCATAACTCCATCTGATCATCCACAAAATGACTCAAATATCAAAACATGATCAATACTAAAGCAGCACCGAAAGTAACAACCCAGTCATTACTTGAAACTGAAAAATGTCCTGTTCATCTTCAAAAGAAGTTGGTTTTCAAAATTGCGAGAATTCAGTCTCGCTCTTCTTGGGCTGAAGACTAGTCCTGCGATGCTAACTAGCCTTTCACAGGCCGCTGAGGCAGGTAGAGGTGTGTTCAGCTTCACAGACAGCTTGCGCCCAGCTGGGAAGGATTTCCCCTAATGCTAACCCTGATGCTAACCATAATGCTAACCATAATGCTAACCATAATGCTGCGCTCTCGCGGCTCCTGTCAATCCTATGGTGTGGTGGCTAGCTAACGTTAGCCAACTAGTGCTGCACAACTGTCAACACTTCCTCAGCTCACTAACTCGCTAGCGATCCACGGGTGTTGGTCTTCGTCACCACCGTCGTTTGTTGCGGCAGTAGCAGGTGCTTCCATTTCTGCTTCCGTCATGAAATCAGTCATCGTAGAGTGGAATTCTGCTCATGTAGTCGCTCGCTAGCTATAGCATATAGCATCCTGGGCAACACTGGGAATCTAAACGCCGCGGCTTTGAGAGCACTTGTTTGTAATTGCGCATTAACGTGATTAACCAATGATTTAACTTGTAAGCTAGGACCACTGATTCACCAAACCTGCTTGCTTGCAGTCTCTGTTCCACCACAGTCCCCGACGCTGGTCTCATGATTCATTTTGTTTCTAAAGATAGATTTGATTTTGTAGCGAGTAACGAAGGTTTCAGGGGAAATGTATCGGAGTAAAAGTATCAGTTTTCTTTGCAAGATGTAATGAAGTAAAAGTAAAAGTCAACAGAAATATAAATAGTAAAGGAAAGTACAGATATCCAAAAAAACGACTGAAGTACAGTAACGAAGTATTTCTACTTCGTTACTATACACCACTGGTCATAGTAAATATGTTGATCAAACAGTTACTCATCCAGAAGACACAGAGCAACATTAGTATTCATTCGGAGTCGTGTTTTTGTCCACCTGACGAACGCAACTCAAATATTCACTTTACTTTCATCTCTGATTTTCACCAACTCCTGAGAAAACTATCTGGCACTTTAGCTGCTAAATGCTCCCTCATACTAATGAGGATGAGGCCACAATGCTAATGAGAGCAGCTGGGCTGAACCAATACAATTGACTGTACTTTCACTTTCCTGGTGTTTCCCTTCTGTCTGTGGATTGCAAGCTGGCTAAGAAACTGTGCTTGTCATTCTGTCTGTCTATCGATATCCTTCATTGCGTTTTAGTACTTTGGACAGCGCCCCACCTACACACAACAAACAGCGCTGTCCCCTCGTGGCGCCGGGCCCTGAGATAGTGTCCTTTCATAAAATAAATTCTTATGCAAGTCAAGAAGACAAAATGTGTAATTGAGTGTTTCAGCTCCTTTGTCTGGTGTGGAAAAAACGGAATGTCGCAAATGAGAATATGGATATATAAAAAAAAAGAGTTGACCAATCAGATTTGACTGTATACGTACATATTCTTAGTTGGGGACACTCCTACAATATACATAGTCAATTAATCCATTGTTGATACAAAAATATCGATTATAGCAGCTTTAATGAAAATGTTCACCAAACAGAACATTTTTTGATTTTGTTCATTTGTTCAGTCACATAAAACAACATATGGGCGACCTCTTACAAAGAAGGTTTGGGGTTGGACGGATTTGTAAAACTGCTTCCAGAGACCACTATTCGCCTCTTGTCTCCTAACAACTGTCAATGTTGTTGTTTTTTTCATCAGGGCTACAATCTTTTCCACACCTCAAGAATATTCAGTAGTCTAATCTTAACCAAAGCTTAACCATAGAGGTGATGGATCAGAAAACCATCACATTCATCTTTTTTCTCATTTGTAGCTTTTTGGGAGGCTCTGACAAACGATGTCATCCTGCCAACAGAGGCAGCAGAAGAGAAAATGCAGACGGGGTGTTTGGAAAAGCAACGACAAATCATATAGTTTGTCATTTAGGTTGGAGGATTTTTATCATCGTAGTGGAACGTTTTTTTTCAAAAGTTCATGGATTCTACTGACATACTCACAGTAACAGCCAATTTCCCTTTTTATTTTCCTTTGATGATTCACCTGGACCTACTTTACCTTCACTTTTCCATATTCCTCTACTTCCCCCGTCTCTCTGCATCTGCCTTTGTACATGCACATCAGACCATATCAGAGAATTTTTTAAGCTTATGAAGTTACGACCAAAAAAATGACTCATCATGTGATGGATCATGAGGGATTTTCATGCCCAAAGACAGCAAATAAGAGATGTCTGTGTTCTAAATTGTCTGAGGTTTCTGAAAGCGTGAGTGACAAAAAAAACCTGTAAAAAATCTGAAACAAGCGAGAGAAACATCTTAGCACCCAGATACACACTGTCTCCCTGGTTGTGTTGTCTGACTGTCAGTGGAGACAATAATCTGCTTGCTCATACCGGCTGCTGTATAGAATGACTCCGTTGGGCTGAAGGCGGATCAGCTTGTTCTCCACGGTGACATCGTGGAACCAAGCAGATTTGGCGTTGACGATGAAGGTGTCGGGCACCCACAGCTTGTCCACGAATCGACTGTCCAACCCCAGCGTCTTGTTAGTGTGATTGAAGGACAGGCGGTCATCGTGCCAGCTCTGCCGCAGGTACACGGTCATGGTGTAATCCTGCCGAGAACAGCACACAAACAAACACGCATGTGAACATGTAGGCTGAGTCACAGACATGGGGAAACAAACTTTACAGAAAAAAACACCTCAAACGCTACAGTATGAGGGAAAAAAAGGAATTGAGTTTTTATAAAATTCCCTTTGTGGCAAGAATATTTTGATAAATGAAACAAAACCAATGTGTGTGTCGTCTGTATTAATTTAATTAAATACAAATAAACATCTGAATAATGTCTTTTGTGGCTCTCGCTTAGACTGAATGAAGTGGACATAGTCACCGTGACGTCACCCATTGGTTTTTGGACTTTGTAGCCTCGAGCTTGGCATTTTGGCCGTCGCCATCTTGGCTTTTTGCAACCAGAAGTGACAAGAGGGTGGAGGTAAGTATGTTGTAAGTTGGAGCTATGTAGTAGTCAGTTTTGCCTTTATTGGAATACTTGTGGTTTTTCATCCGCCAAAGCAAGAAAAATATTTATTTGTGTGTAAAAGAATCAGGGTTACATACATAAAGTGCATCCACTAGATTTGGTTCTCACCATACAAAATCCCTGAAAGTATCGAATTATCTAACAACTCAGCCAATGTGTCACACATGTTCACTCTGAGTACTTTGAAACCCTCAAGTGGGATAAATCAGGATTATGCAAATAGCAAAATCTTTGATCTGTGCCGCAATAGTGAAGTTGAGGGACGACAGGGAATCTCTGTGTAGAAGGAAGGAGAAAGCGACTGTATACTCTACCATGTTGGCTTCGGAGATGTGGTCAATGCTGGCCACCTCAATGGCCATGGACACGTTCACTGGTGGACCTGCGGGGGGGGGGAGAAGTGAGGAAAAAAAGAAAAACCTCCCCTCCACACACGCACCGTCTCTGCTCATTCTGAACCCAGCAATCCCTCCCGTCCACTCTCCATCTCCCATCTGTTTCCCTCCCACCTACCATCATCCCACGTCTCAAACACTCCTACAGTGCATAGAGATTAAGCATTATCCAGTTGAACCATGCTAAATGGCACATCACACTGTGGGCATTCATAAACGGCACTGGGCTTTCATGGACTCGCACGGAGTGAGCTTCTGCCAACATTCACGTGCACACACACACACACACACACACATACAACACGCACGCTAGCATTTCCACTCAACAGTTTGCCATATGATTAGCATGGAGTGTGCCTCTGTGATCGGATGCTAGAGGGCAGAAACTACAGGGGAGCTCACTGATGCAGAGCTGAAAAGGCTATTTATACTGAGCATTAAGGAATCATATATTACCATTCCCCACCATTCAACACCTTCCCATAACCATTTCAAATCGTATTCAGTGGGCCATACACTGGATGTATAGTGTGAGGTGATTTATAATGGCATACTCATTGCACGCCAAGGTCAGCAGGACACGTTTAGAGGGTGTCACCTGATGCAACAGCAGGCATGTTTTACATATTACCCTCCAGTGGATGTGCAAGGATTAATAATACACTTGAAATAGAAAAGTTGGCTCACCATATACTGAAAGGTTAAAGTTAATATGGCATTTTTTGCATCATAAATAACATGAATATTACACAAATACAATAAGATTCACAGAGGTGTTAACTGCGTGCAAATGCAATAAACTTGCATTTGCAAATGATGTCCACAAATATGTTTTGAGCTCTATAAATGCTAACACTTACTGATATATATACATACTGTATATATAAAGTGGCCAAGAGAACTCAAAAGTAAAGATTTTGACTATATATTTTTTTAAACTGTAAGCACCGAACACTGTATTTGTTTGTTTGAGAGGCATTCAATTGAACTAGTAAGTCTCTTTGGACAAAACATCTGCAAAATGAATAGAATGTAATGTAAACGATCGTGATGCAAACATGTTTTCCGCAATACAAAGGGATTCAGAAATCCTTTTTGTAAAGTACAAACAAATGGTTTGTTTCACAAATATGGTTTTCCATTAACACAAATCAAATTGTGTACATTTGGATCTTCCCCACAGCAAGAAAAAAATCCATTGATATAAAGCTCTTATTAATGTCTCCCAAGAAAAAAATTGGTTTGTACTTTTATAACCAAAATAATTGGTTTTGAATTATATTTTGCCATTTGTGCACATACTCATGTAGATTCTCTTCAAGTCAAACTTGTGAATATTATCTCATTTTCAAGCTGCAAAACACATCTATGAACCCTTTTTTTTATTTGTGCAAATGTCATAGTTATCTTATTGTTAAATGATACAAACATAACTCCAGAGGTAAAAGGCTATGGGATGTGAGTTGAATGAAGGGACTTACTCCCAATAACACACACATGATTCCTCAGCGGTCAGCCCTTCCTTGTAGCTGTCATTTGTCAGCATACTATAATGTTACATCAACAGGAGTGCAGTCACCACATGATGCTGTGTTATGGCGGTCTGCGTATAGGCGTGTGGTGATAGCGGTGCTCCTGCTCCACATTTTCACCTTTGCTCAGCTGAGTTAAGCTGTGAGATTGAGAAATCTATCGCTGTAGTCATTGGATGTTTCACATCTTGCAGCCATTCTTAGCAACGTCTCTGCAGCGGTGCTCGTTGTTTGCACCACCCGTCTCCCTCTCGTCCTTGAAGGGCATCGTCCCTCGATAATCCCTCTAAGCAAAGCCTGATTTTTTTTGTTTTTTTCTTAACAAATGACCTAACTGAAGAGTCAAAGCAGGTATTTACGTAAGGTAAATGCGGCTTTGTTCAAATGTTGTACAAGAAAAAAAAAAAAAGGAGACGACCTCTAAAAGGATAATGGAATTGGAGAATGAAATGTGACCGCCCGTGTTGCTGTAACTCGAGGTGGGTGATGCTAAGGATGGCTGTAAATGTGAGGGGGTGAAATGCAACCCAACGCCACGAGCAGTAGATCTCGTACTCACCTCCTATCCCAGGGCGAAAATTTCTGGCATAGCCCTTCATTAACTCATCCAGGTTAGGTAACCAGGATATTTGAATATCTTTACCTACATAGTCCCCAATGTCACTCAGCATGGCCCTAAAGGAGACAAACAGCAAACACAGCAGCCTTCAGAGGTCGTCCCGCCACACCATGTGTCCAAGCTGAGCGTCAGATGCAGTCAGGAACATACACAGGAAAAAACACACCTCCAAATGCCAGACAATGTTAACTAATGACAGAAAAGAGGATTAGAATTCACTGTAATAAAAAGACAATCTCAAACCGTTTCTTTAGGTTAAGAAAATGAACCCAGAATCATTCATTTGTCAGTTAAAGATGAATAATTGTTTTTGTTTTGGGGGGTTTTTCACCACTTGGGAGGAGCAGAAAGAAATCTCTAAACACAACAATGACATATCATCACATTGTAAATTTAAGGCAAACGTGTTAGTAACTAGTTGCCTATCTACACATCCAGCAGGCACAGAGCAACATTTACATGTTTATTGAATGTATGAGGACATGAAAATTCAACATATATACATATCTCTGCCATATCCTATAACTCTGTGTTCTCTAAATCATTTGGATTATTCATGACTGAATTGGGATATTATAGTCTCTTAAACTTACAACAGCAACCAGAAGACATTATGTTCAAATAAATATTTTTGAGAGATTTAAGTTGGAAAAAGCCGGCTCTTTGTTCTGTTATATTTGTGTCCTCTGTTTTTATTGATAAATATAAATATAAAAAAATGAATTGATGCTTTGATTTATTCAATAATATGATGCGAAGCACTGTATTTCTATGCATCTTTGAGTCATAGTAAGTACAGTGGATGGGCTCTCAAATGAGTCTAATGAAAAATGTAATCGTGAATGATTCTGTGTCATCATCAGCAGCATGTCATTAAATAAACAACATGTCATATTAGTTGGGGATTCATGCATAGGAAATGACCACATTCTGCTGATACTGAATGTCAGAACAAAACGCTAGCCGTCAGTTGTATCCTCTCAAATACCTGCACTTGTAACAAGCGCATGAAAGCCACATTGGTTGAAGCCTGGTTGGCACATTTTCCTTCATTTGTGTCTCCAGAGTGTGTCCACAAGGAGGCTGATCCAAATCTGGCTGTGCAGCTCCAGATTTCACACAGCTCAGACCGGACATCATGCTGAGCCTCAGTCCATGAACCTCGGGTCCATTTTATTAAAAAGAAGCAAATCCTCATTAGACCACATATCCCCATGTATTAAGGCTTTTAAGTTAGCACCTTATTACATCGCTGTCTCTGGTTTGGGGCAGTGACACCTCGTGCTTTTTTCCTTTTTTCCATTCCTCTAATCTCTCGAGAGGGGAATAATAGGATATACTGGCAGTCCTTTTTTATATATCGTACTAAAAGGACTCCCCCAGGGCCCCTCGGAGCCCTTGGCGGAGTCCTAGAAGGCCCAGAGCCCCTGCTGACGGACACTGCCTCCGTGTAGGATCTAACAAGAGCAGCACAGCTCAGATACCACCAGGTGGCAGTTTTGCATTCTAAAACAGAGCCTGTAAACAGATGACATGCAGATAAATATTGCAGTATGGACCTTAATGTATTTGAGTTTTTACGTCATGGTCAGTTACATCGCCATGGGAGACACTATGCTGTCATTCAATGTGAGCAGAGAATTATGCATTCATATGTTTATATACAATCTGTGGCAAAGAATCAGATTTTAGAAGCTAAACTGCCATCCAGAGTTGAAAGAGTTGACTGACGTGCGATGAATGAATTGAATGAAATGAAAGGTTCCGCTGACATTCAAAGTCACAAAGGCTGGTGGTGGCATTGACAGGGAAATGGACCATAATATGGGGGCTTGATCGAAAGCGTAATTATTGACCAACAATGAAAAGCCATTCAGTGACCTTTGCGATAAGGCTGACATTTGGAGAAAGTCGACTTCCTAGAGAGCAAAGCATTACACCCGCGGCTACGTGGAAAACTGACCTCCTCAGCAAAAAAACCAAACATGTAATAATTATCTGCATGAAATAGTATTTCTGCCATATCATTAACATTCCCCATGTTGTAGTGGCAGATGTATTTTTAGTCTGGCAATCACTGTCATGTCTGAAATAAATGGTAGCACCGAGTGAATTAATGAATCACCGTGTGACTCCTGGACTTCTTCACTGATTGGTACTTTCTAAATATGGAAATAAGGAGCTTTTCCTTCAAGAAATCCATTACCACACGGGCCTCCTCACATGGAGGGGACGAGAATGTGTGTCCGCTATAGCAGGGGTTCTTAACCTTTTTGACCTCGGGGCCCAACTTTTCAAGTATAAAGTGTCCCGGGGCCCATTCAAATATTAACACTATGAGTTTAACTAATTGATCTCACTCTTGGTTTGATTTGTATTCAATAACTATATTGTTTCCTGTTCAACTCCACCCCTATTTTGGAGCAAAACCGCCTAAAATGACATACCCAAATTAAAATGGCTGTAGCTTCTGAACCACTGTGACTATATGCATCAAAAGTGTCAGAAAACCTGTAGGTCATATAGAAACAGAGCAGTGGGCCTTTGGAGTCAGTAAAATTGAAGATTTTTGTCCGCATAAAATAAAAAAGTATCTTTCAGTATAAATAACTGCCTGTGGCTGTATCTGTACAGGTAAATGACAGCATAGGGCTGTAACCACACTATCAGTGAACAACTGCCTCAAATTTCAAGAATATTGGACAAAGTATGACGATTCTACAGTGTTTCTTCCATGAAGAGATCCAGGCGGAGCTCTAAAAGGATATTTGGAGACCCAAATGGATACATGGTAACCAAATGATATTCTGACACACTAAAGGTGTTTCTCCCTTTATATTTTGATATTATATTATTTTCCTTTTATTTTTAGCCTTTGCAAATTGCAAAAACTATATATATATCGTCGAAGACGTGGTGTGTAAGTAGCGGAATTACTGTGCATAATGGCTGCGACTGAGCACACGATCAAGTATGAGGGCAACTCAGTTACGCAAGGTTATATGTTGGTTAACAGCTTATAGAAGAGGATGATAAGGTTTGTACTTTAAGTATTAGCGTTTTCTGAAGCTACTAGCTCCATGGTAACATCCGCTAGCATATTGTCGGGTCTGTAATGTGTCTTTTTCCGTCGAAATGCTGCAAGATCCGACTTGCAGCGGTTATGGCGACTTTGGACAGTGTGTGTTTGGGCTCCTTTTGTGAAACATCCATAAGAAATGAAAGAAATTCGATGATTTCTTTGCAAAGATGAGGGTTTTGGGCATGCTGGGATTCCAAACACGGCCATGTTTTGTGACGTAGTTTGCCCAAGCAAGCCGTAGGAACGGAAGGGGAGGGGATCGAGGACGCCGGCGTCCTCGCGGAGTTGAACAGGCGAAACCCTTGTCAAATAAATGAGATGATACAATGTGATGATCACAAAGACATTTATTTGTCATGTGTATGTAAACCTGCATACACAACAAGAAGCCCAACAGGCTTTCCCACGAGCGTTGGATGTTTCGTCGCTAGGTGTCGCTTTATTTTTGAAGGCTTCAGTGCTTCGTTTGATAGCATTAGCCCACATTCCATACACTGAAAGCGTTGAGAAAGTCAGGATTGTACTTGCGCACAAATTTAGACTTTTTGGGGGGGGTATGGCACCACTGTTGCCTTCATTTTTTCTACCACTACAGTGTAGTGTTTAAATCGTGTAATGTTTATGATTCATTAAATGATTTAACACTGCTACCCTCTAGTGGTTAAATCATGTAATGTTTATGATTCATTAAATGATGTAACACTGCTGCCCTCTAGTGGTTAAATCATGTAATGTTTATGATTCATTAAATGATTTAACACGCTGCCCTCTAGTGGTTAAATCATGTAATGTTTATGATTTATTCAATGATGTAACACTGATGTAACACTGCTCCAGTCTGTCTTTGTTCATCCTGCATCGCTCTGTTCTGTTCTTTAATGTAACGTTACTGGAGCGACGGAGCCTCTCCCAGCTGTTAGCAGACTGTTGTGCTAGCAAGCAGGCTCGCTCGCGAGCTGTACCCAGCATGCAGTTCGGCGGTGAAATTTTATAAATGTACAATTATTAGTGTTACAAATTGTTTATGTGTCACAGACTGTTGTGTTGTGTTTTTCTCTGTTAAAGAGCATTAGTTGTGGGTTGTTAATTGTTGTGTTATAAAGTTATGACCATGACTAGGGTTCCCTCTCAATACATATAAGACAACTAGCGCTGACCGCTGTGCATTAGCAGCAAAGAATGCATTTAGCTGCCTGTTGAAAGCAGACAGCAGTTGTTTTGGTTATGCACCGGCATAATGGTGTGTGAAGAATTCATATCATACTGGAAATTAAAACCGGTATACTGTCCACCTCTAGTCTTTATTATGGTTTGGACAATTTTGTACCAATATTTGACGGGCCGGATTAAAAAGCCCAACGGCCGTTTGCCCATACCTGCGAGCTAGCGGCTAGCTGAGTATCTTCTTCTGCTTATTGTAGCTTGTTAAACAGCTGACTGACGCATTACCGCCACCAGGTGGTGGGAAGCTATATTGTAACTGAGCGTCTCATGGAGAACAGTAATATCTCTGGTGTCTTCAATTGATAACCTATGCGGTCCCGCGGCCCTCGCGGCCCACAGGTGCAAAACTGAAAGTTTTTTGCGGCCCTCTAGGTGGCGTTCGCGGCTCCATGGTTAAGAATCACTGCGCTATAGGACCAAATTCTACTGTGTCGTATTAGTCTGTCTTTTGGAACTTCATGTTCATTTTCAGGAACTTTTCAGGATTCTTGGTATTGCAATCCCTGACTTTACGAGGTGTATTTATAGTTACAGATTACAGAAATGTAACTTTTTATCCCCATTATGTCACAGACCAGTGGAAGAGCTATGTCATCTCTTTTTCTGAGACGTTTTGTTAATAGATTTTGACATTTTGTAGAGGCCATCTTTTGTTTATCTGTTAAATATCAGATTATTGCTTTAATTAAATGCTGCTCTCTAAAGAGCCTATCAGACCTCATCTGACCTTCTAAATTGATGTTGTTTGAG